CAAAAAAAAAAAAAAAAAAAAAAAATCACAATCACTGTGCTATACGATTTGGCGGCTGTCACCATATAGGAATTGTATAAAACAGAACAGGATGAAATATAGTTATATAAAATATCCTTCTGACACAAAGACCCAATTTTAATAAATAACCAATAAGCTGACAGCAGTATTTGCTTTCTGAAAAGCATAATTAACTTTATCTTTAAGCTCTTGATTGATATAAATTTTAAAATATTTTGTGGAGCTAAATATTGAAAGAATTTCATCATTAATACTAATGTCAGTATTCACATATTTATCTTTCTGGTATCTCCAGAAGCAAATGATACAGTTTCTTGAAGCCCATAGTTTTATTCTCCACAGTCCACAGCATTTTGAAGGCTGAATTTAGGCTGAACTGGAGTTATTAATTGCACGTTGAAACTGAACTGACTATATCACTACTACTTTATCATCAGAATATATACACATATATTAAAAAGACTGGTCCTAAAACTGACCCTTGAAAAATGCCAGCACACATATACTTCCTGTTGAAATATGCATTTCCAACTTGTACTTAATAAGTATAGCATTTGAGGTAAAATCTAATACGATATAATTATCAGGAAAATTCATTTCATCTCATTTAAATACTAGGTCTTGCTGCCAGATGTGGTTGGATGCTTTCTCAAAATCTAAAAACATCACAACTGACAATTTTTTAGAGAAGCTACATATTTAACAACATTTAATATTTGCATAAAAGTGCTGTAGTTTTTGAAGAAAGCCAAACTAGTTGTTTTTAATAAGACTGTACTTTGTGAGATGGTCAAGAATTCTTTTCTGTATAACTTCCTGAAATTTTTTACATATGCAAAGCAACAGACTAATTGTCCTGCACCTGCAGGTAGTTTGAGATCTGTTTTTGGTATAAGAAAGGTAAAATGGCTTATTTCCATCGAAAGTAGTTCTTCATGCATGTATCAACACATTTATTGTGGCAATGGCATGTCTTATTCCCTGTAAGAGATCTCCTCTAATGCTAAAGTTTAATTCCTTTAAAATTTGCTTACTATATTAAAAGATAATTATCAAATGTATTCAATAATAATCCCTATAACAATTTAAAACTTATTTGTGTATATTGACATAAAATGACAATAATAATATATATTTTTTTTTAATCTGAAAAGTTTTTTTGTTTTAACAATCGCCCAAAAGCATATGTTGGCTTTTTATGCTCTCACTGAGCTCATAGTACACCAGTCTGCTGTTGCACTCACTCCTCCCAAACCATTTCTTTTTATCTTTGTTTTATTAATGAATATCATTTCCTTCACATTTAATGCAATTCAACAGTTAAATTACAAAAATTTTAAAAGCAGAATAACAACATATGTTTAGAATTCCAGATGCAATATTAAGTGTCGGCATATATTAAAAAAAAATTTTTAGTTTTATCGCAGTTTATCACATCCATGTTCAGTCACAGTTTTCTTTGAAAGACAGACGGCTGCAAATTTTTTTGGTCTTTTTATCATTGATATCTTGTGTTAAATTTACTAATTAAATATGTTCTTCGCACTTATGCATATAAAATTCAATGCAACAGCAAAATATTTAAAAACAGCATATCTTTACAATTTCTGATATACAGTCTCACACATTGGAGATAAAAATGTTTTATTCCAAACAGTGTTGCCACTGCTCGCTTTGAAAGTGTTGAGTTTTTCAAACAAAAATTCTTTAAAGTTTTACAAAATATTAAACATAAAATTCAAAATTTATGAATATGTTTGGGTGGAGGATTACATTATTCAAAATTTGATGGCTCTAGGTACCATTGTTTTCTCACAATGCAAGGAACCTACATACATGCAGATTCTTCATTATTTAATTTCTTTAAAAATAATACAGGGCGATAAGATTTGGTGGCAATAATTTGAAAAGTGACTTGTTGTTTATAGTGAATTGATGCAAAATACCATTTGAGACTAATAGTCTCTTTTGGGCTAAACTACAGTCAAACATTGTTAATTCGGACACCCATAATCCAGATCTCAAAGCTACAAACTTTCTGCGCATGCGTCGAGTTGATGCATGCGCGCAAGACCTTTACGGTTGTGAATTTGCGAGTGCACGTGCACAAAATACGTTTACGAATGCGCCATTTAATGTATAACGGACGGTATAACCTAAGCTCTAATTATCTATTTCAGTTAATGTTGCAGATTGCGTTGTTCCTTAATCTTCGAATTGGATCCGGCTTATTATTTTTTGCAGACTGTTAGAGCAATTTTATAAAAGTAAGCTTGAACTTTCGATTATGTCAAATAGAATTTCCGATTTATATTTACTAATATGTAACAGATCTACAAAGCGAAAGTATGTTTCGGAGTCCATTAAACAAAAAGTGGAATTGCTGCAAAAAATGGATAAAGGCATATCCTTTGTTTATCTAAACTTTAACGTTTGTTTATCTAAACTTTGTTTATCTTTAACGCCGTGGCGGGCGCCCAATGAATTGGAAGTTGATCTGTCAGCACTATCCTTATCTTCAGGGCAGATGTTTTTATTTTATTTGGCTTATAATTGCTTACTAAATGTAGTATTTCATTTCGATATACTCCGTCTTTGATATGATTTAAATCAAATGCCTTGTCATTATAATTCGCTTCCGATAGCAAAGAAAGTGACAGAGGTTATTGAAGACGAAAAAAATTTCGATTGACAAATTAGTCAGTATTCTCGACACAGCAATTATAGGACTTGAACAGCAGAACTTTGTAACTGAACAAGAAATTATGTATGTTTATAGAATTAAAGAGAATGTATTATCACATAAAAAACGAAGCAACTTAAACAACTTACACTGAAAGAAATGTTTGATAAAGTAAACAAATAAATATTAAGCTTTTTTTTTTTTTTGTAAATTTTGATACACTTTAGATCATAATTGTTCTTTATTTCGTAAATTACGGTTTCATATTTTTAATTTTATAATTTCTTCATGCCATTTTACCAGATTTAAACTGATGATCTATAATCCGGAAAAATCGATAATCCCGAATCGCCGAAGTCCCGACGAGTCCGGATTAACGACTTTTGACTGTATTATGTTTTTCAAAGCAAGGCACTATACATAACGTAGGCTCTGATGTGCATGTTTTGCATAGCTATTGTGTTTTCTATCAAATTTGGTGGGAATTACACACGACATGCTTTCATGTTGGCACAGCTTTAACTGATATTGCGAGTATTGTGTCCATGTAATGTTGGCCTTCTATTTGTGACATATCTGAAGATTTATGGTGCATGACATGATTTCTAGGAATTGGTGTATCCATGTGATTACTAGAATTTAGAAGTGAACATATTTCTTTTTGAAACCAGATCTAAGTTTGCTTTCCACTTACTTATGTATATGAAACTTTTGTATAGAAACGTCCATATCCAAATTTTAAAGTAAGACATTCTGTACCATTTCAGTGATTTCCAAAATAGGAAAGCAATTGAACTCCAAGTTCCAGAAATTTCCAGATGGAAATTTTTGTGATTTCCTCAATAAGAAAGCAGTGGATCTATTCTACTAATGTCACACATGTGTTTGTTATAATCTAGAACATAATTTAATTTGGTGATGGATTACCCTTTTCGATTCGTTTCACCCGAGATCTTTATTTTACCAGAATGTTCAGTTGTAAGCATAAGGACATCTTCTTAGTCTTGTCATTTCATCCCAACTGCATTCTCTATGCGATTGTTCCATTTAATTTTAGCTTTGCATTCTCAACCTCTTTGGAAAGATATTTTTTTTTTCGATCACAGTGTTTCACATAATGTTGTTTTGTTTTTGAGATGCTTATTTACTAGAGAAATAGTTGTGCAGTAACAGTCTATGTAAAGCATGCCGGTACAGGTCAGTTTGACACCAACGGTTCGACGCGTGGTCAATTCGACACGAGGTCGTTTCAACGCAGGGTCAGTTCGACACCATACTTTTTTTGCTTTTGATAGGCGCCATACTTTTTGTATTTTTATTTATTTTTTAGAATAAGTTTGCATCCTCATTCAAATAAATTTGGTATCATCATTATTTGGTATTTCACACCCCACATTATGAGAATTCATAGATGGTCTCAGGCGTGTTCAAAAATCAATTGATCAATGTTATGAACAATTTGTACGTGGAGATGAACCACCGCACAAGCAGAATAGGTATCTCCGAGATGATATGAGAATTAAAGTAATAGTTGAAGATTTTGAAAATTGAGAAATACGGGTTGGAACTGTGTGCACCATAACTGTTATAAGTGCTTCTTCTCTGGCACAAACACATTCCAATGGGAGTGCCTTTATAGTCGTTGCAATAGATTATCTTAGTGTATCAAGGTCAGTACTGATTTAGCACCTAGACAATATGACCACAGTTATGCACATCAAAAATGGCATAATTGACTGGTGAACTCTACTGTATGTATGAACTCTGACTCAATCCATGTACTTTTCATGAACTAATATTTGTGTACATATACTGATATTTATAGTTATATTTCACCATCAACTGTAATGTATAATATTGTATTGTAATGTCATTGTCATCAGCAACTGTATCTCCCGGCCCACAAGTTCTCTATATACCCTAATGACAGCGTTTCAATTAACACCTATGCGTGACTTAAGTACGCCCTGTGGAGGTGTTCTCAAGACAGTTAGTATGAAGGAGCGACACCAGTTCTGCCAATGGCAATGGGTTGGTGCTTCCCAAACTTAGTCCTGTCCTGTCCTGAGAAAAATGCAATATCTGTGAAATCCTGACATTGAAACAGATGCAAATAGACACTAATCAACAAAAATTATGAAATTTTAGCTTCCACACGTATTATGTCAGCAAAACATATAAAAATTAAAATTCAGGACACTATAACTGAGAAAGTAATACTATCACATATACATTTTAATATGCCTCTATTTAAAAATCAATAAATTTCATAAATAAAAAGTACAGAAAAACTTACATTTAGATCTCTAAAATACTCATTATAGTCAAGAGCATATCCAACTATAAACTTATTAGGAACTTCAAACCCAGTATCTAATTAAAAAAACAAAAAGTTATAAGCAATGAATTTCAATTATAAAAATTAAGTAAATAAATGATTAGTTAATACATATTTACAATGAATAAAATCATAAAAATTTGTTAATAATAATGGTAATGCTTTCTTTTCTTAACAATAACTCTCAAATTTATAATACATGAAATGCATAAGTTATAATTTAACTTGGAACATGGGCAGCAAAGAAAGCAATACAAATTGCCTAAATCACTAGTAAAGGAAAAGAGAAAGGGAAAGAAACCTCACTAAATTTCAGTACACAAAAGCTACATAATTAATAATAAACAATAAAAAATGTCAATTAGCCATGGTAGAAAACAAAAATACAAAAGTTTACTGTAACAATACCTTGCTAATGTAAACTGTTGTTTTTTCAATATGGGCAAAAAATTGGATAATGAGAAATAGAAAATGACTAGAATTGCCTTTTCCATCAGACAGCCAGACGCCAAAACCTAACTAAAAAAACCTTTGAATATGGCATTTCCAACACTCAGAAAAAGATTATTTTGAGTAATCAGAGAAATTTTAAATGACAACATTTTAGTGGTTTTAAAGATGATTACTCAAAACCATCGACTACAAAATGATAGAAGATCCAGATATATCCAATGACGAAATCAAGATAAATGAAGGTTATATGTATAAAGAATTCAGAAGCAAATAACACATTATTACCAATAAAAATATAATAGTATAAATTTAAAAGTATGCATCAAGAAAAAACTCAGAGTATTATTAGATTTGAATACTAAATTTCTCATATTGTGTGAGTTTTTAATAAAACCTCAACATTTTCAATTACAAATGAGGCTCAGAAAATCTATCTTATTTTAAGAAATTTTGCTCTTAGTGTCTTCAATACCAAATAACAGAGCCTACAGTAACTTTTTTCAAATGCAACACATAATTCTGCTTCCTTTAAATCACACATACCAATATGAAATTACAACTGTCTATTATAGATAAGTTATAAAAGCACCAGAGTTAGATAAAAATAAAATAAATTTTAAAGAGAAGAATTATAACTCTTGTTTTTTTTTAAAAGAGATTATTCATCATCATTTATGTAAGTACTGGCTGATAAGTCAGACAATCCAGCACATATTCCTAAATATTTGCTAAACATGTGTGGCCCATGGTCCCAAGACATTACTTAAATTCGCCCTCAAGGATACAGAAGCTGGTCACCACATTGTAACAATAGTTAATTATTTTGACAATGGCAAAGCATGCAAAGTCTACAACCTAAAGGGTGGGATGCTTTCCATGGAGGATTTATTAAGGAAAACCAATTCATATTCACATTACAAACGAGAAAACCATAAAAACTCCTATAGAGTGAGCTTATTTGTGAAGGCTAGAACCTGGATCCAGCTACCTGTACCAGTGTTTAGTGTTCTTTCAACTCGTTCATCAACAGGCTAAATTTATCACAAAAGCATTTTTAAAAATAAACAGCACATCATACTAATTATATGTAACTAGTATTGACTTTTAGATATAGACAAAAATTCAGCACTTTGTAATTCTGTTTTAAATACAGTAAACTCTCGCTACAACGATACCCGATACAACAATAACTCCCTCTACTACAATAATGTTTTGTGGTCCCGGTGATTTTGCATATAAACTAATGTTAATCTCCCCTCAATATTGCTATATTCTCTAGAACAATAAACCTCTGTAAAACGATATTTTCAATCTAAATTTCAGTATTATTTTCTCCCTTTATAATAATACTTTGATTTTCAAATGCTTTTTTTTTTTTTTTTTTTTTTTTTTCGTTTTCTTTTGTTATTTTTTCCGTCTATTAAGACTCATTGTGGATATTCAACTTATCCCTGAATAAATAGCTATTTTTCAGATTTCAAAACAGATGAAGACCACCCTTTTAGGAATTGGAGTGAGTGAGGGGGGATGAAGTGTAAATGTATGCCTAGTCTTATTTCCCGGTAAGCTTTGGAATTCTGATAAGGTTTAAGGACATCTAGACCTGTCTGGTCACCTTGTCACAGAACAAGTGCCCTTTGTTAGAGGAACAGGGGGAAATGGAGGCGGGGTGTTGTTAAGTGACGTACTGAAAAGTGAGTTCAAAGGTTGTTTTATAGTCTTTAATGATTTTGAGTTCTACGCAAAACATTTGGTTTAAACTTTTCTTTCTTTCATGCGATATTGTTCCCTAAGATGGTAGGGCGAAAGCAACTATCTTTTCGAGATAAACTGAACGTTATCAATGATATTGATGAAAGAATGAAGCAGATTGATGCGGCTAAGAAACATGGATTATCGCAATCTACAGTTGCAACGTTCCTAAAGAAGAGAAAGCAAATCGAAGATGCTGTAACTTCAAATGAAATTAACCCAGAGCGAAAACGACTGAAAGTTGCGACAAATGAAAACATTGATGCTGCTGTTTTAAAATGGTTTCAAGAGATGAGAGCAACAAATGTCCCAATAAATGGACCTTTATTATGTGCAAAAGCACGGAGGAAATTGCAGCAGCAATGCTAGGGAATGAAACTTTCAAAGCTAGCAATGGTTGGTTAATGCGTTTTCGAGATCGTCATGGAATAACTTTCCAAGAAGTTCACGGAGAGAGAAAAAGTCAGCCCCGATAAACGACGCAAATGAATGGCGGCAAAACAATATGAAAGAAAATCTTAGAAAAGTATGCTCCAGAAGACATTTATAATGCAGATGAAGCTGGGCTGTTTTTCCAACGACTACCCGATCGAACATTGGCATTCAAGGGGTGAAAAGTGTTATGGAGGGAAGAAATCAAAAGCAGAGACTGACTGTTCTTCTGTGTACAAATAGCACAGGAATGCATAGAATACAACCTCTCGTCATTGGTAAATCATTGAAGCCAAGGTGCTTTAAGAACGTGAAAAATCTTCCCGTGGAGTATAAAGCAAATAAGAAGGCTTGGATGACGTCTAAATTTTTTTCTGAATGGTTAAAGAAGTTAGACAATGAAATGAAGAAGAGAAAGAAAAAAAAATTGTTTTGTTGATAGATAACTGCGGTGCTCACACGTCATTTCCAAAGCTACAAAATATCGAAATCGCTTTTTTCCCTGCCAATTGCACTTCAATTTTACAGCCTCTTGATATGGGCATAATTAAGTGCTTCAAAGGATATTACAGAAAACGGTTGGTGGACTCCATACTTGTAAACTTTGAAAATAAAGTAGAAGACCCTTTCAAAGCTATAAATGTCAAGGAAGCGTGTGACAATATTGCTGGAAGTTGGTGGGAAGTAACAGAAAAAACCATTCGGAATTGCTGGAAAAAGGCCGGTCTTTGTGTTATGGAAGATAAGAAATCTGATAACGGGTGATGAAAATTCTATAGACAATGATCTCTCAGATAGATGATCAAGAATGTGTTTTGCATCACAAAAATCCGTTATCCCAACTTGAGGAAACAAGCGGTAAAAGTTTGGAATTAGTATAGAAGACTATTTAACAGCAGATGATGATCTTATGGTTTTCGCAGGAGTTACTGATGAAGATATTCTCTCTGAAATTACTGATGAGATAGGAAACAATGATGAAGATGATGATGATAATACAGGTCCATCGCAGTCCTTATTGTCATCCCAGGAAGCTCTTCAATCTGTGAATTCTCTACGGACATTTTTTTCAAGCCTTCCGTCGACAAATGAAGAACATTTTCATGCACTAGACTCAATGCATACAGTATTGGTAAACTTAACAGTTAAAAAAATCAATAAACAAACAAAAATATTGGATTATTTTCAATAAAAAGTGTTTTCAGGTATGTGAATATTTCTGTGCTTATTTTCTGAACTTATCTTATTTATTTATTTTTTTAGTATTTAAACCACTATTATTAGTATTTTACAAATTAATTTCTTCTAAATATAGACTTAAAAGTAGTATGTTATGCACCTTAAACTAATAATAATAATAAAAAAAACTCTTATTAAATGCTCAAAATATGTGGGCCCTCAATATAACAATATGCCTCTCTACAACAATATATTTATTTGGGCCCTAAAATATTGTTATAACAAGGTTTCACTGTATACTTAAAAACTCATTAAAGACAGTACTTACAATCTGGTCGATAACCACTGCTTTTAGGAGTTCTCTTGACAAACAAGCTGTGAAAAAGTAAATAATTTAAATATGTGAAATAAAACATCGCAAATAAAATCTGCATTAAATCTTAAAGCTCTTTATATATTTATATCTCTTTATATAGTAATGTATAAAGTGCCATGATTATGCAGTACACTTAAATAATCAATATTGCCAAAACATATAAGTTCGTACTTTAAAATAAATGTAACATGGTTTCGAGCAAGTGAAGAGCATGAATTCAGCTTGCAGGAAATTATGGTCAGATTGTGTTACAAGCAGAGATTCTGAGTGCATGGACACCTAGAATGCTTCTTGTTATTTCTGATATTGTATTTCTAGTGAAAACAACCATGGGCTAGGAAGTTAACAACGAAGATACAGAGATGTTACTATAAAGCCATTAAAAATAAGCTCAACAAGAAAAGCTACAACTATGAAAGCACCAACAAAAAAGCGAATGTGAAAGAATTTGTCTTCAGAAGAGAAAACAAAGTACCTTAGTTCTCTGACTGGCGAAATTTGAGCAAAATCGAGCAAGATGCAGTTTTCATGTATCAGTCTGATAAAGCAGCAGCAAACTACAACTTGTGCATCTTCAGTGACTTTGCTACATTTCACTTTTAGAAACTCTTTAAAACATAGGCTGTAACATATCAAATTGGGCAAATTTTGAGTGAAACTGAAGCCCAACGAACTTTGTCAAAGAGAAGGTAAAAGATGTTTGCCAAAGACAGTTAATTGATGTTTTAATGGATGGAATTTCATATCCAAACAATAGCATTTTCCATTTATGCTATCCATTTTTCTTCACACACCTACAGTAAAATTTAAATAAATTTTTGTCTATTTTATCTGTTTAATACCATGTTTAGCTTTTTGGTTTACATTTGCCAATTTTGACTGGTTTGTTGTTTCTATTTTATATGTTTAATACTGTTTTTGTCTTTTTTGCTATATGTTTACTGCTTTCCATTGGTTTGGGATTATAAACTTGTGCACACAGTACTGTTGTAATATTAATATATATATCTGAAAGGTTAAATTACATCCAAAGGGGCATTTTTTTTAACATTTTGTGTGTTGCCTTTACTGATTAAATATCATGTTGATTAAATATCATGTACTCAAACTATAAAATTCAAAAATTCAGTTCAACAGCAACTATCACAAATTTTAAAATGAGCATATCTTTAGAATTTCTGATACAGAGTCTTGTGCATTGGAGATAAAAATGTTTCTTTCGTATAGTGTTGCCATTGTTGACTTTGAAATCATTTAGTTTTTTTAATCAAAAATTTGTTCAAGTGTTACAAAATCTGAAATCAATAATAAAACAAATTTCAAATTCAGTTAGGGTTTCCACATGCCCATATTCTATGGAAAAATAAATTATTCAAATTTTGATGACTCTATGTACCATTGTTTTACCACAATGTGAGAAATATACATACATTAATGTAGATTCTTCATTATTTAATTTCTTCAAATATAATGCAGGGTGATAATATATGGTGGCAATGATTTGAAAAGTGATACAGACTTTTAAAGTTTTCAACACAAAATGCAAAAACGAAATTAATAGTCCTTCAGGGCAAATTGCCCCTTTGGACTAAAAAAACATTTAAGTGTGGTAAAAGAACAAATTAATCCATTATACATTAATTTCTACATGGAAAATTGCTTTGGTTTAAGAACATTTTGTCTGATGAACGGCATTCAGGAATGAATTAAATTCATGGACTGAGAATTTACTGTTTAACCCTGATATTCATATTTATAACATTCAATGCACACAAATATAGTAAACTTTAACTGATCATGCAAAAGTGTTGTGCACTACATTAATGCTGCAAAGATTTCAAGATTTTAGTTATTTGAAGTCGAAGTTAACATTATTTTTCATTTTTATTAAAAACAAATATGTATAATGCAACAGAAAATATATAAATGGAGCTAATTAATTTACAATGTATAAATACAGATTTTATTACTTCGTACTTTTCAAAAACTAAATAAGCTCAATTATGAATTTTTACACAAAGAATAATCACTCTTTTCAAGATACACAAACAGCTTTATTTTTAAAGTTGAAAATTAAAAAAAAAAGAACACAACTGACCAATGAGCATCAATAAACGATAATTTCTACTGATAAAATAATTCTACTAATTTCTATCCAAAGCTACAAAATTTATCAGAACTGAAATTCATCAGGTGGAAGTTGTAGTAAGAAATAAATAAGTTTATAATTATTTACATGTAAAGATGTATTTTTATTTCTGCATCTAAGAAAAATTTTGAAATCATTTGATTACTTAAAAGAAATGTCAGTCAAAGAATTTAATATTTAGCAGTTAATATATTTGAATTACAAAGTGTAACCAGCAATGGGATGGTCTATATTTTGAGGTACCACTTGCATTATCGCCAAGCTGTTGTTTCATTTATCGCCATGTTGTTGTTTTAGTTAGGGTAACATGAGTATTTCATAATGTATGTTTTGGAAACCCTATCATGAACTGATGGTTGTAATGCGTGATCACACTGAATTTGATTGTTGGGAAAATATTTCTCAAGCCTTATTTCTGCATTGGATGTCAGTTAGAAGTAGGTTGCTTATTTTGTGCTTTACCCAGTAAAACGGATGTGGGTAATACAATTAATTTGAAGTTTCTGTATGATTTGGAATGAATGGAAAAGAAAGCATCAATTGATTGGTGTGTCAATGAAGATTTAGTCATAAATCAACAGAATATCTTACCTAGAACAACAATCATATCCAATTGCTGGAAGTCGTATGATTGTCTTTCTGACAATGACTTCATTCACCTATCAGTAAATTACCCAGCGACATTTAAGGATTCAGAAACGGGAGCTCATATCAACACTATCAAAGGGGTGTGGGTAGTAACAAAAAAGGATTTTCAAAATAAATGCCACCGACAGTCCAACACTACAGAGGATATTTTTGATTCTTACTTCTGTGAATTTGTGGTGACCGCAGTGCACAAATTCTAGTTCAGATTATTTTAAACAGTTTTTTAATGTTGTTACAGAATTCTGTGTGTCACACACCGAAGATACAAATTTCTAAATCAGGTAAGTCAATATTTTCTTTTTGTACTGCACTTAGAAAATGTATATTTGCATTTTTAGGTTATTTGTTTTATTTTGATTTAAAATGTAATTTATTGAGATTATAATTTTTTTATGTTTTGATGCCATTTTACTTGGGAAGGTGTTGCATGTAAACAGGAATGGCGTCAAAAAAATTCACCAATTTTCACCCAACAATGCCTTACAGGCACTGAACATTAGATTTCAGACAGGCCATGAATTTGAACTTTTTCCCTCTGTGGTAGTATTATTGTTTGTGCATGTATTAATAAATATTTAGAACAGAAATTTAATATTTATTTAAAACATTTTTATAAAATTTTTCATCTTATTAAAAATTCTGGCTCATCAGGTGTTTTCGGATTGTGCATTTGGCCTCCATGTGATTTTTGTGTTTGAGACCACTGCAAGTCATTTACTATATATTATTATGCAGTTTCAACATATGATATTACAATAACAATCCTGATATGCATTGTATCATTATATAAACAATCAGAAACATAGATCTATTTCATAGTTCATGGTAAAGATCGTTGTAAAAAGTTAGAACATGCACATTTTGACTGACATATTTCATCATGTGATTGCTTTTGCAGCTTATTGTTTAGTTCTTTAATTTTCAAAATTCATTTCAAGTTTTAGGGCTATTATTAACTAAAATCACAAGGAATGGATAAGGAGGAAAAAATGAATGCAGAACAAAGATTAGAAAAAGAATAAAGAAACATTATTTTCAATAAGACAGATATTATACCATGCCAAGGAAAAATATTTCCCTGTGGATCCCATGTTTCCAAAACTAATTAAAAAAATTAATTAAAAAAAACTTTTTCTTTTCTGTTTGAACTCATTCTTTTTGTAAATTAGACATTAAACACATCTATGACTTTACAAAAATATTTCATCTGGTTTTCTTCCACTTTTGAATATGTTGCAAAATTTTCCACTAACTGGCGCAATAACATTTTAAATAATACAGAAAAACTGGATTTGAAGAATACTGATCACAACTGTTAGGAAATTAAATTTTCACTTTATAACACTATACTGTAGATGAGACATTTATTTTGAATATAACATCAGTTCCACGTTTTTGACAGGAAAATCCCTGCATATAAAAGCACTTCCAGAAAAATCTCTGGGGCAATCTCAAGTATAGCAGGTACAGGATACAGGAAAACAAAATGAGAGAGCTAACTGGACATAGTACATCTAATGTCAGTTAGACCTAGGTTGCTAGGTGATACATCATGTCAGATGGTTATATGAAGGATAACTAGTTTACTGTAAATTCTGAGGGTTAAGCATTTCTGAATTTTACTTCCTTACTCACTTTTTGAATTAAGGCCCATTTCCACTGCTACGTATGCATTGCGGTGTCTATGTGTTTCTCCAATCAACGAGCAAATTCACTTTGATTGATATCTGCCATTAAGTCGATGTGCGGTGACGGATAACGTACAGATGGAATTCAACAATATTCAACTTCTATCCGTATGTCTGCGGATGCGTTGGGGACACATGATAAAAAAAGGGCAATCAGGTGTTGTCACCAGAAATTAATGGAGGCAAAAGTAGGGATGAATGCAGGCTTAGGGAAAGAATGTTTTGCTAAAAAATACTTATTTCTGAATTAACATTATAGCGAGAAATCTGAGTACTGAAAAAGTCAGCAACCAGCTGAATTTAGTTTAAAAAAAAAAAAGATAACTGCAACTACAGTACTATTTTCGCATAGAAAATCAGGCAGTCAAAGAAATTCAGTTCAAGAAATTCAGGCACAAAAAAATATAATTTCAAGTCCATGAAATAGCAAAATTTGTCCTGACAATTATTTCCTAGTTCTGTATACACATTTACCTTTAATAAAACTGAAAGTCTGACTATATCAAACTGCTGTAGCAAATCAGATATAGCATTAAAAGAGTTGTTATTTTTTTAAACAGGTAAAAACTAAAAACATTAATTATAAATTAAATTTGATAGCCTTTTAAATATTCCACTCCATTAAAGAGTATGTTAAATTTGTATTTCTCTATTTATAAATATACCTTTTTGGCTAACACAAATTTGTAAGCACATGGAATATATTTTTAGCAGTCCGTTTAACTTCAATCGGAATGCCACTTTAAAAGATAATGTTTTTTATAAGAAATGTACTAGAAGCTGAAGAACAAACTCTGGTGAATTTTTTAGACGATAGCACACTGAAATAGGACTAAAAAATTTAATTTTAAGAATTGATTTACTTGATTTTTATTGATTAGTCATATAAGCCAAAATATGCATACCAGTCACATGTGATGCTAGCTTAGTGGTAAAGCTGACGGTAACAAGGTTTAACTTTTGGGGTCGTGAGTTCGAATTCCATACGTTTTTAGACCCTGTCTGCAACTTTCTTAGTTTTTTGTTCCAATTTGTTCCAATTGATCTATATTCATGTTTTATAATTTATTTCTATTTATATACACATTAAATATATTGTTTTATTTATGCTCTTATTTATTTAAATTTTCCCCTGCAAAAAATTTTGAAAATTATACAATACGAATTTAAAGTATTCTTATGATATAACATATATATATATATATATATATTTGAATATATATACATATATATATTTGAATTTAACAAACATTCTCTATTCGTAAAAAGCAAATTTAAAGTTAATTAAATTTAATTCAAACAAATAAATAATTAATTATTGCTGCAAACTAATCTACAATACCATTTAAATTCTGAGAGCATATGTAAATCAAATGCAAGTATCAAAATCCATGAATAAATATACAATTCCAAAAATTTATTTATCCTGAAAAATTTATAAAAATGCATAAGGGAATAATAGGATTAATTGGATTAAATTCAAATTTCATTCCTTGCAGCAATGGCACAAGAGAATTATTTAATTAAATTCAACTTTACTATTTATTCTTTTGAAAACCTTGTACATATATACATATATTTTCGTTTCACTTTTATCTGAATGTACATACATGTGTTCAGACTTTGGGATGTTTACGGCTCTAAACTTTCATTACCAATTAACATGAGACAGTATTAATGCCCTAAACATTTTTTTATGAAAAAATTATTATAATAATTACTTTTAAATTCAGTCCTCTCTAGCAGAAGTGCAGGAATTAATTAATTAAATATTTCCATTTTCTTTACTTAATGCGTGTATATATAAAGAGAAAAGGCTTATTTTTATAATTTCTTCTATAAAAAGAGATATGAATTAAAAATTCTTTAATTAAAAATAATATTTTATGGATTATGCATAAAATATACTGCCCATAGTGCATTTTAAAACAAATGACATTTCTAATAAATTATCCAGCTATGACCCTGAAGTCAGCAGTATACAAGCATAGAAAATTTTATGTAAATATTGTGAACCTTTCTTTAAGGGTGCTCTGTATTTTTAAAGTACGAACTATTTTTTAAATTTGTTTAACTTTTTTATTTAATTATTTATTTATTTATTTTTTCAGTAACATTACATTTTAGTTTTAATAATATATATATATTATTTCATTAATAGTTAAAGCTTCTAGAAATGAAAAGAAATTTTTTAAATTTACTTCAGCTTCTATGCAATTAGTGAAGTTCATAATATGCATTATAGCCTTACTTATCCAAAAATTGCTAGCGTACTTTACTTTCGCAGTTCATAAGCAGAAATAAAAATTTCCAATAGCATGCAATTTAGTAAACAAAACTTTTCTGTGTTTTACGTCAGGATCCAAAACAACAATCCAAAACAAACAATACTCGCTTAAGCAGGAAAAATTCAGATGTTCAGCATCTTAACTCGCGAACTGGTTGTTTGGCACCACAATATTACAGTGACATTTAGCGACGGAAAATGAAAATAATCTACGGATACGCGGCAGTGGAAAAGCATGTACGGATGCCGTAGGCGTGCCTTCAATTGATGCAACGTGTTTGTACGCAGTAGTGGAAATGGGCCTTTACTAAATTATTTCTTTTTGTCATAAATATGTTCTTTGTATTACCAAGAAATTAGTTACTGAAAATCTACAAATAAATAAATCGTATAAAAATTTCAGATATTAAAAAAACATTAGAATTGAAATTAGGTAAAAGAAACATCATATTGCTGATGGTTAAAAATCAAAAATCTGTGAGGAAGGCTTACATAATATAGTTTTCTTTAAAATCCCTATCAGAACATTCTTTACAAAAGTTCTTTTATACATAATAAATTGATTTCACCATATCATTTAAATTCATAGGAAGACTTAATTAGAAAAAGAGTGCAATGTATAATGATCATGATTAACAATGTAGTAGATAATTAGAACAACAGTCTGAATATTTTAATTTCTTGAAGCTGGATTTTATGATAATCTAAGGTAAAGTTAAATAAAATACAGACAGCACAATAAATTTCGACATTTTATTTAATAGCACATATAGTATGCTTTGTTTATTAATTCATTCATTAAAACAAATATATTTTCAAAAACAACCATAATATCTGACTTGCACAAAAAAAAATTCTTGAAAAAGAATGCAATGCCGTGTTTAAAAACTGATATTTATAAAATAAATAAAATATTCCTTTAGTGATTGCTCTCACTTATTCAATTCAGTTTTCATTAAGGAAGATGTGTAGGTAATTGCATTTAATTGTAAAAGTACTCCGTAAGAAAATGCCTTGATTCTTAGTATAGATTAAGAGCTTCTGTAGCTTTTCTCCAGTATACCCATAAATTATTTTCTTTACAGCAGTTCTTTGTAGAAATATTTTCAGAATTGGATTTTGAAACTGGCAAAACTGAATCCCTACATCCATTACAAATTTTAAATTCATTATGAACTTCAAGTAATTTCAGATTCATAGCTGCTCCAGATTTCCAATATCTGAATTTTCAAAATTTTATTGTATTCATGTGGCTGGTTATAAATTAATCTTTATTCGGATATAAATTAATCTGAATATTTTAAACTAGCCACTACACAGCCAGCCTTCATCTGGCTTTTAAATGTACTGGAAAAATGCCTAAAGGGAGAAAATTCCACAGAATTTTTCTCTGCAAAACTACTTTACAATAATAATAAAAAAAATCAATAAAAATATTTTACATATAAAAAAATTACAATGAAATAAGCAATATCTCTTAATACAAATATTAATTATCCTAATAAATAAATCGATCAGTTTCCTGTTGTCTTCTCTAGACAAACATCCAGTATCCAAGAGAAACATTAAATTTAAAAACTGCACAGAATTATCCCCCTCATTTCTCGGAGTGGCAACAGTGCTGATATCAGCAACAATGGCAGCATTGATTTATCAAATTACAAGAAAATAAGCAATATCCCTTAATACAAACTTTAATTATCCTAATAAATAAATTAACCAACTTCCTGTTGCAAAATCTTAAGAATTCAAATGGTTAAGAACTTTCTTTCTTAAAAAAAAAAAAATCATGCAAAACTTTTTATATAATTAAAATATATAAAAAATTACAATGAAATAAGCAAAAAATCTCATATTTTTCAAGAGAAAACAGTCAGCAGTCCAGTATCCAAAGCTGTTGCCAAACCCCATTTCTAAAAGAATGAAACTATCATCAGAAAGCAATAACAAATCAAAATTATGCTTTGTGGACAACATAATTCAAAACATACAAACCTCTTTGCCATTAACTAATAAAGAGAGAAAGGGGAAAGGAAATTCTTTCTGTTGTGCCTCGCAAGACACATGCTTGTCAGAATAAAAAGATTGTGATGTGCGTGTTGTGTGCCTCAAAATCAAAAGAAAATAAGCAGCATTTTATCTCATATTTTCAACAGTCTGAAAAACTGTTGCCAAAACCGCGTTTCTAAAAGCATGAAACTATTCAAAATGACGCAATTTCATCAAAAAAAAAATTTTTTTTTAATCTGATTCGAATTTTGAAAAAAAAAAAAAAAAATCGCTTTCAGGTGCACTGGCTCTTGTCTAGATGCACCCATGTACGAAATTTTGTATACCTGGGTCTATTAGCTTAAACGCAGCATGAACAAAAGACACACACAGACAGACTCTTTCTTTTATTATATGTAGGGATAACTACAAAAGTAATTTTTTCCCCATTACAATGCATATGCCAAGAATCAAATGCAAGAAATTATGCTATTACTTTTTAACAGTTTATAATGCTTTCAAATTCTTTTTAAATAACTACAAAAGTAATTTTTTTCCCATTACATTGCATATGCCAGGAATAAAATGAAAGAAATTATGTTATTACTTTTTAACAGTTTGAAAAGCTTTCAAATCTTTTATTTCAATTTACCAGCAGTTCAAATAATTTTTTTAAATCTTATAAAGCCCAAAATTTTATAAAAGAACAGAATAAATAATTTACCTGACAACTTTTACAGACTTTGGCTTGAATTCCTGAAGAAGATCCAATAAATTTTGCATTGTCCTTCCGGTATCAATAATGTCTTCAACAATCAGCAAATTCTAAGTTAATATAAAAACCAATTAACCAGTTTATGTAAAAAACAATTATAAATTAATTAGCAATATAAATATGTTACTTATCAATGCACATTTAGCAGTGTAAATATGCATCAAACAATACTTGTGCAAAACATTTACATGACAAATTAGAAAAACACTCATTTCTTGCCGAGATATTGACACATTTCCTAATTTGCATAAATGGATTTTTAACCATGGCAGCTGAAGAGATATTTTAGTGATGTTCACATGGAGGGGAAAAAAAGTACATCTCAGAATAATAAAAATATGATATACTCAATAAAAATGTTTCGGCAAGAAAATTCAAGATTCTAAAAATGACTTAAATAATTTTAAAAATAAAAATTGATTGATTATTTGAATATAGTAAAGCACATGAGGGATATGCATCTAACAGAAGAGGCACTTTTGTGGAGCACTCTCCAAGGTAAGCTAGCTCATATTCACATTACACATGGAAATAACCCATGAAAACCAACTGTACCTAGGTACGAGTACCTTGGCACAATTTGACAATTTTTTGCAGACGGAAAGGTGAAAGTTACTTATCAGATGGAAGCTGGTGATTTTCAATACTTCTTCCAAACTATTGATATTTATTGTAAACCTGCAAACATTATCACAATACCAGGAGTTCTCAACTGGTGGTATGCAAGAGAAAAATAGGTGGTAAGCAAAGCATTTTTAACTATATTAAATTCATAAATTTAAACCCCAACATCCTGATTGAGTTTTTCTCTAACACTCGTAAATTTATGCAATCTGAACTTTGTTTAAGAATGGTGATGGTAGTAGTACTTTGTTAGAGGTGGTACTAAAGGTTTTCAATTTTTGTTTAGATGGTACGCATTAGTCAAAAGGTTGAGAACGGCTGCACTATACATTAAAAAAAAATAAATAAAACACACTTTAGCAATTTAAATTATTAAGATTTATATTAATTTATTAATTAATAATTATTTAATTATTAAATAAAGATTATATGATACAAAACATAAAAATTAATCATAAAATCGTTCTATAATTTTATGTTGTGATCTTCTCAGTGTATACAGCACTCTGTTTTCCCTTAAAAAAACTTCACAGAACCATACGAACCAGCATTGAGCACAACTTCACTTTTATTAATAGGCTATTTATCAAATGCATATCATTATTTTTCCCTTTAGCGATTTTGCAATATAAATACTGTATTGCTGCAGAAATTTTACTGCAATTTCTTCCACAGATGGCAAATTCCACAGCCGAGCCATTTTAAAATCGAGTCAAGGCAAAAAAGAAAACAAAACAGACCCAAAAAAAAAAAAAAACACAATTTGGTATTTTTTTATATTTTGCATCCTTTAAAAACCATTGGAACTTTGAACAAAAAGAACGCAAAAGAAAATGTGATATTGCTTGACTGAAAGATTTAACGAGTACGATAGCCTGTAGAATGTTTATGCAGATGGTTGCTACAGTTTGGCACATCCAGGTAATCTGGCAATTTCTACTAAGGTGGCTGTGATAAATCGCGAGCATCAACCAACCATGCAGTCAGCCAGCGCCCCTGGGTCTAAACCAAAGATAAACTATTAGTATTCAGCAGTCTTGAACCGATTAGTCAGTGGTAGGGTGATGATATTACTATTTTAGTAAACATTTAACACTGACTATTTACTAAACAGATGAAATTACTATTTTAGGTGGTAGTTAAATTTTATATTTAAGTCATGCAGTTTCTTTATTTATATATATTCTGATTATAGAGCAGTATCTATGAATTTTAACTACTTCCTCTGATAGCTAACTCATTAGAGGAACCCTATGAAAAACTATTTTTCCAACATAATTTTTAATCATGATCCTTGGAATTTTCTACTGCTAAATGGTATTGTACTATTGTTGAAAACCCTTTATTTATTTTTATTATATTCATTCCTTCAACAATAAAATATAGCACAAAAACTATAAATTACAAAGGCATATGGATTGCAGATGTATGTTTTCCATTTACATTTTAAATGCCTATCCGTTTCAAAGGCAGAAAAGTTTTAATTTTATAATCATTATTATTACTAATGAAGCATAATACATCTAGGGGAGACAGAGGGGGGCAGATGATCATAAAGTGATAAGTAATATTGATTGGAAATTTTATACGGAAGAGAACTAAAAGTGAAAATAGTTGAAGCAGCTCATAAGTTTTTAAACCATGCAGAAGCACATGCAAGTAAGGGTTGCTCCACCTCTCAGTACGTTCAGGTTAATTTTGCTCCCGCAGTAACAATATTAACAAAATTGTAACTGGAAGAAATGCAAATATCTATAAAACATTTCTCGTTTTTTCATGATCAATTATATAGACTAAACTGATATTTTTTATATATCTCTATTTACTAATAAGCCTTATAATGCAATGCAGAATTTACAAATTTTAAATAGATATCTACATCAAAAGGATCATGCCAAAAAAGCTGAAAGAACAGCCAATTAACTGTTGACAATTTCTTTTTGTTTTGTCAAAAATCTGTCAAGTATATCTTTATAATAATTCTGCATAATTTTTTTACTTTTTTGTTATCACTAAAATTTATTATATTTTAACTAAGACTTATCATATACTTACATATAATAATATAATTAATCAAGATTACTAAAACCTATTTCAACAAAAATAAATTTTAAAAAGGCTTTTTTTTTTTTTTTTTCAAAATATGTAATATGTACAAAATGCAACAATATTTGTGCGAATAAAATCTGCAGAAAAACTTTAAAAAATTTCTGAATATGAAAAATATAAAAATTTATCAAAATTAAAATAAAATTATCTATAATAGCAATCCCTGACCATGCTAGACCTGCACCCCCTAGAAGGAACATGAAGACCACAGCGCATTTCCCGAAAAGAGGTGTGACGTCAGTTGTTCGATGTTATGCAAATTGTATTTCTTTCTTTGTACCGAGGAGCGGCACAGACGCAAATTTGTTAGGTTTTTAAAGCTCCCGTTTAGAGCTTTGAGGTTGCTGTAAATTACTGGAGTTTCAACTAAGCAGAGGTTCTGAGTTTGTGTTGGTAAGCCGCTACTGAGTTCGGAGTTTGCAGTCTGGTCTTCACCGTTCCTCAACTAATTTACTATTTTACTTCGGCAATTCCGGATTATAGATCATCAGTTTAAATCTGGTAAGATGGAATGCAGAAATTACAAAATTAAAAACATGAAACCGTAATTTATGAAATAAAGAACAATTATGATCTAAAGGGTATCAAAATTTACAAAAAGAAAAAGCTTAATATTTATTTGTTTAAATTTCTTTCAATGTGTTGCTTCGTTTCATGTGATAATACTTTCTCTTTAATTCTATTAAACAGACATAATTTCTTGTTCAGTTACAAAGTTCCGCTGTTCAAGTCCTATAATTGCTGTGTCGAGAATACTGACTAATTTGCCAAACGAAATTTTTTCGTTTTCAATAACCTCTGTGTCACTTTCTTCACTATCGGAAGCGAATTATAATGACGAGGAACTTGATTTAAATCATATCAAAGATGGAGTACATCGAGATGAAATACTGCATTTAGTAAGGAATTATACGCCAATAAAATAAAAACATCTGCCTAAGATAGAATATGCTAGAGATCAATTCCATTCATTGTCGCAGCTGAAATGATAAACAGATTTCGGATTTGAACATACTTCCGTAGATCCTTACATATTAGTAAATATATGTAAACACAACATATTAATTTTATTTAAAATGTATTTTCACGATTGGCAACAACAGTTTTTTTTTTCAGAACGATAATAATTTGAACTGTAATGTTTTTTTGAGCAGTAATGTTGACGGTAATGTTTCTGAATAAAGCAAGTATTTAACAATTAATGTTTGACGGAATGTGTTTTTAATAAAGGAACTAATTAATTGCTAACATTTCAGAAGTGGGATAAACTAGAATTATTATCTAGATTTAACAACGTATTGCCTTAACGTACGCTAAGCCTAAACTGAATGCGGAAGCTCGCCAAAACTGAAAGTAGAAAGGTACGTGAATTTATAAACTGTTTATGTTATGTCTAAGTATTAAACGGAAAGAACTTAAGTATAATTATTGTATTAGTATTTGAAAATTGAAGTCTAAGATGGCTTATTTGGCAAGAGGCAAAAAATGTGATTTAAAAGAACTTGCTTTGGAACTTGATGTAGATGTCCCTTCTGATATTAAAATTGTAGGCTTAAGAGATATGATTTTGAATAGTAAGAATTATAACGAAGACTTTACTAAACAAATGCTAGATAGAATTATAAATGATCGTTTAGACAGGGAAAAGTTAGAAATTTTTTTAGAAAAAGATAAGCAAAGAGCATTTGAACTTGAAAAATTGAAAATAGAAGCGGAAATCAGAAGTAGTAATGTAAATGATTCTGTTCCTTCTAATGTTAGTAGAAGTAATATTTGTGATATGAGTAAATTAATGCATAAGTATGATTTGAATGAAGGTGATATAAGTTTTTATCTAGTTTTATTTGAGAGACAGGCACGACGTATTGGGTTAGAAGAACAAAACTGGGTTTCTCAGCTGTTGGGTCTATTGCCTTATGAAATAACTCAATTAATTGCCCGTGAATCAGAAGAAAGCTAACGACTATAAGCACGTTAACAACTGCTACTGAGAAAATTTAAGTTAAGCCCTGAACAGTTTCGGCAAAAGTTTGTTGATCATATTAAAACGTTGCGTAATACGTGGAAGGACTTCACGTTTGAATTAAAAAAATTATTTTGAAGAGTGGCTTGCTGGATTAAATGTAACAGATTTTGACTCTTTAAAACAACTTATTATTACTGATCAATTAAAGAAGAGGGTCCCCGCTGCTATCCGAGACCATTTCATTGATGATTGGTCTAAATTCATTAATCCTGAAGAGTTGGCTGAAAAACTAGATGAATATGAAAATATTCGGGCAGGGATAAAAGTACTTCAAGTAGAAAATAAAACTTT